GGTTCCCTCAGGCCCAGACTGCTCTTCGGGGTATCTGACACGGGGAAGCCCCGTTCGGTGCCCGTGTAGAGGGGGCCTGCGGGGCCGGGGTGTCGGGTCAGCGGGGAGGCTAAGCGGGCGGAAAATGTGTCAGTAGTCCGTAATGCGCGTACCAGGGCTTCCTAAAATTAATAGTTTGTCTCAGTCTGCAGCGGGAATTCAGTGGCCAACTGCTGCACAGCAGAATACGCAGCTCGATAAGTCACTCCCTGTATTATTTTAGCGGGGGAGGAACACCGCCTTTCCTCTGGGGCTGAGAGGATGCTTAAGGTCCTGCTGAACTGCCTAAGCTCCTGGTTACTTGGGCCGAAAGTACCGAAGCTTTCCTCTCCCCTAGGGAGGGCATGGAGAGTAAAATCTAATAGTTAAATTGTCTTTACTGGAGGTAAGGCCCAATATACCGAGGGAGTTGTATCCCCTGGAAGCTTCCTGAGAGTTGCAACCTCACCAACTGAGTATGTTTGTCATTGAGTTTATATGGAATTATTAGCTGTTTTAGGATATTAACCAGGTAAACTCAGGAGTTACAGTGTCAGACTGGATGTACGTTTATATGCATGTTGATTGCTCTCTCCCAATTATGGACAAACATTTTAATGGGTTCCACTCTGTACCAGATCCTTTTATTCTCTTAATAGTATTTACTTACTTTTAATCTATGCAGGGAACTCTGTAGTGAAAGATTAAAAATATAGTAAATGAGCCACAAGAGTAGCTACAAAGCATCAGTTTAAAGCAAATTTTGGCCATTATCCACCCCACCCCCATAGAATTTGACCTTTCTATTGTAAATTCTTAGAAGGTGAAACTTTTTTAATGGTCTTGATAAAGCTTCCTAGAATGCCCTTTTAATTAAGTTAGCATTAACACCACATCCTCATTCCTATGAACTTTAATCCCCTATGGGTAAACTTAGGTGCAGTGTTTTTTCTGAACAAATAGCTCAGTTGTAAGTTAACTATGTAGATTATCTGTAGCTGGCAGAGCATACTTTAATGCTTAGTAACTATTCATATTATATGCTTATCCAGGTCAGTTAAAAATCTAGTTGCTGCATTTGCAGAGCATAACTACACTTTATTAGTTGTGATTTTTTTATTTCTGGCTTGATATATTGTGTGCATCCAAACTGTTGGATTAATTTGTGACCTATTGTATTGTGGAAATCCAGAAAATGGGTTAAGTCAGTAACTAGATTGAGCATGTTGTGTTTAGCAGCAATCCAGTGAGGTGATCTAGTACTTCCAAATAACAGGCTTGGTTTGCAGTTATGCTACACCAGAGTGGTATCCTTTTCTGAACTGCACTTCCCGAGTTCTTGAGATGATGTGGATAAAAGTTAAATTACTAGTTCAGTAGTTTAAGTATTATCTTACATGGGAAGGGGTGGTGAAATATTAGTATAAAAAAATTGCCCACTGGGTGGCTGCTATAGTGGTTGTAGTATGGGGTGAAAAAGGTTGTAACCCTAAGCAAAAGTGGGATTTGGAGGGAGGGATGCTTTGGGACTTCTTCCAGAGGGGTAATCGTGTTAGGTCTTCTATAACAAAAAAAGATTTCTATGTTGTTTATGTCATGTTGTAATATGTGAAATTTGTAATTCAGGACAGTTTATGCCATAATAAGTCTGTAGACCTTTAAGAGAGCATAAAACTCTTCAGTGTATTAGAGCATTGGTTCATAACAGTGACATTAAGATGATTAACTGTCAGGTAATGTTTTTTCCTACATAGACTATCTAGGCCT